GCTATCTAATCTTAAGGTCAAGTCTCAAGGGGGAAGGAAAATATTTATTTATTTTTTCAAAACAACCCCCCCCCCGCCCCCATTTTTTATATAAAAAAAAAATATAAAATTATTAAACGCCCTTTTGTGAATGCCTGCCCAATCTAACTATTAGCAAAATTAATTAACAACAATTTAGCCATAAATAAAATTATCCACATGATGACCTTTCCCCTGACAATCTCTTTCGGGATGATCCCTCATGTTCAGACACCTTTAGTAATGTAGCGCGCTGCCAGGATGCCTTCAATAGCGTCCACGGCTCAGCGGAGCTGTGTGCTTGTATACTTATATTATTAAATTATTATTATTTTACAAGAACGATGTGAAGAGAGCATACACAGCTGTTTTTTATATTGCTGTGTGTCGCCTGTGGAACTAACATTAGCTGCGGCAAGGGGCTATAATATTTTTGCCCTATATTTTCCTAATGACAAAGGTTTATAAAGGCTACTACGAACACCTTTTTTCACATTTATATCACAGAATAAGGCAGGAAATATATTTTATAGTTTCTATACTAAATGATATGTCAATCAGTACTGCATTTTTCATATAGTTTATTTATTTACCTGGAGATAACTTGAAAAACACACATAAACCATATATTTTCGCAATCGTGTGTTTATTGTCTTCACCTTTCATAAACGTTTCTGCTTTTTATTCAGCTCAGCTACAGCTATAGCCTGATGCTTTTTTTTTTTTACTTGTTAACCACAGATGCTAGTTTTTTGTTTTTTTTACTGAATCATTCACATTCAACTATTTTACATTAGCCGGGGGTGAAGACATTGAAAGAAAATAAATAAATAAATAAAAATCTAACAAATTTAAATAAAAACATGTAAATGCTGACATAGAATAATACACTTAGCAGCTTTCTTGTTTATCAGATTATAAATAGATTTTAGGTATTGTTTAACTTCTGATTTCAAAATTAAAAATAATGGTTTGTAATCACCATACTTGCATTTATGTATACTAATCTTTACCAACAAAATTAATCAAGTAATATTCCTTATGGAATGGCATGTCGTATGTGGAAAAAAAAGAAAGAAAAAAAAGCTTTTGTCCATATTAGGGATTTCCTGCACTTCATAAATTATTACTTCCATGAGCGCCCAATGGCTTTGCGCTCCTGATTTTCATATCTCCTCATTTTGGATACGAATAAAATGTCAGGTCATGCATAAACTATCGATACTGTCTCTTTGGATTTAAATCTAGAAACCTCTACGTGAACACACCTGCCCGAATAAAGGGCGG